TCCATTTTGACATGGCAATCTTTTGGATTGCATCTGTATCTTTTGTTCGCCTTCTTATTTCTTCGTTGGACTCGCGATCTTAATGGCTTAATGTTGAGCATTCTCCGTTCATACCTCTCTGAGTCACTTGGAGTTTGTGGACTATGTTACTGTTAAAAGCCCATGCTTTAGTTCCATAATGATTTAAATCCTGCCAATAGTTCCATGGTCCTCGTTCTTCTAACTTTGTGGCCGAAGTAATTTAGGTATGTTCGGTTTACTTAATAGCCTATTTTTTAAAAACAGCTCTTTTAGACTTGACAGGTTGGTTCTCTGTTCTATCCAAGATACGCGTAGAGTTCTTCTATCGACTCTCATTTCAAAGGTTTCGATCTAACTCCTATCGATTTTTTTGAGGGTCCATGTTTCAGCTGCGTATGTAGCAATGATAAAAATAAGGGCATTAACCAATACCAGCTTAGTATTTCTTGTTATTGTTATCGTTTCGTCTTTCAATATTTTAATCAGTTTAGCTGTTGCGTTTCCGGGCATTGCTAGTTTACGCTTTATTTCTGAGGAGCAATCACCACTGTTCCCATCACAATGAGAGAGCTCAAATATAGAAATCTGTCTACCACTTCGAAATTCGCCACTTGGTGTATGTTTTTGTTATGTGATCTGTCTACAAGCTGTCATACGATCATGTCATACGATGTGTCATACTGATTGTATCTTATTTGCTCTATCTACGATCATTATTGTTATTATTCCGGTGTTGATCTGAAAGTCCAGATTTTTTGACTAAGTATTTGTAGTTTGATCCTGCAGTTAATTTTTAGCAGTCTGCAATCTGATCACTATATGCTCCAGGCATAGCTTTTACATTTAGAACTAAGGTTTTCCATTGTAGTCGATTTAATTTGTATGTTATTTATTTAGACTAGTCCATGTTGAGAGTCTTATTGGGCCGTGTTTATAGAATTTATTTGTTAAAACTAGATTATTTTTACTTTCAAACTGTAGGAGACGTTCTCCTCTATTATTTCTTATGCCCAAGCCAAATGATCTGACAATATATCTTAAATGTGGTTCATTTTCATCTTTTCTTAAAGTCTCCAATAATATATACTGGCTCTTTTTGTGTCATTTTCTTCAAGATGTTTTCTACTTTGTTGTAAATATCACCAATGTCTTTATCTGGGGCATCTGTTGTGAGAATATAATATACCTAAACGACATGAAAATTTTCTGGTTTTGATTCTAATGGTATCTTGACGGGTAGCGGGTAGGTACTTTTCACGATCCCGGTGGAAACAGATCTACTTCAGGGATTAGCGACCCTGCCCACGCTAGATCATGATATTCCACCATCTCACACCGTGGAATCTCATGTCAAAGAGCCTTTATCCTACACCCTCCATATTTATCCCTCCTAGTCCTCAACCCTGGTGAAGTACAGCAGCGATCACCAGTACCAACGCAAGGCGCAAAAGAAATTATCTTGGACCGGCTTGTTATTGAAATTCCACAGGCATGACTAGGACAGTTTGAATGGCTGTGGTACTGCGGTGTTGAAAGTAACGGGATACTACAACACTACCTTTTCCCCAGGATAACTCATCTCATTATGGCAGAACAAAACAAAACTCAGATGGCCCTCAGTCCCGGGCAGGCCTTAGATGGTCAGACGGTGCGAAGATACTCCCGGTGCCAAATAGATGATATCCAACGAATTTCAACATGGAATGTTAATAGTCTTTACGAACCAGGAAAACTACACAACCTTATAAAGGAAATGAATCGGCTGAAAATAAATATAATGGGAGTCAGTGAAGTCCGATGGTCTGGATCTGGACAGTTTACGAAAGATAAGATTACTATGTATTACTCGTGTAGTGACCCAACAGATAGACATCACCGACATGGAGTGGCTATTGCTCTTGACAGGAAGACCAGTAAATAGGTGACAGATTTTGTTACAATTTCCGAACGAGTCATGTTGATCAAAATGACAGGCAAACCAGTAAACATAAATGTGACACAATCATATGCACCAACAGCAGATAAGTCAGAAGAAGAAATAACTAAGTTCTATAAAGATCTGGAAAAAGCAATAAGACTAACAAAGAAAGAGGACATAAACATAATAATGGGCGACTTTAACGCCAAGGTGGGTAAAGGAAGATATGAGGACATAATTGGAGAGTACGGCCTTGGAGTTAGAAATGAAAGAGGCGACCTGCTGTGTGAATTCTGCCAGGAGAACGGTTTTGTCGTCATGAACACATGGTTTCAGCTCCCACCTCGTAAGTTATATACTTGGAGATCACCAGGAGACCGTCCAAATCGAATAATTAGAAACCAAATTGACTACGTTTTAATAAACAGAAGATTTCGTAACGCTATCAAAAGAATCGCAGCATATCCAGGTGCTGATATTGCATCCGATCATAATCCGCTAATAGCAGATGTGAGGTTAAAACTACCAAAAATTAAGAGAACAAATACAAATACCAGCACACCTATAAATACAAGAGAACTGATGAGAGACGAAAATCTGAAGAAGAGTTATGCGAATCAAATTAATGAAAGAATGCGAGTAATAGAACAAAATGATGATATCGAAGAGATGGTCAATGATATTAAAGGAACGATTCTGGCAGTAAACAGGGAAGTTAAAACACAGATCAGAAAGAGAAAGCATAACGAATGGATGACGGACGAAATTATGGATCTAATGGAAAAGCGAAGGCAACATAAACAACAACGTAATCAAGACAAATACAAACAGATACACAAAGAAATCCGTCAGAAAATTAAGAAAGCAAAAGAACGTTGGATGGTGGAAAGGTGCAACGAAATAGAACAATTGCAGGAAAAAGGAGATAGTTTTGGACTACATAAGAAGATCAAAGAAATATCGAATATACACAAAAGCCACCACAGAACAAGAATACGCAACGACAGAAACGAATACATAGAGTCAGAAGAGGAGATAGCAATGGCGTGGAAAGAATACGCAGAAAGCCTTTTTAGTGACGAAAGACCAACACAACCAACGCGCAAACTTCCTTCCGAAAACTTATCAGGGCCATCAATAATGCGAAGTGAAATAGAATATGCAGTTAGAACCACAAAGATGCATAAAGCAACAGGTCCAGATGAAATTAATATAGAAGCAATAAAACTACTAGACGAGGAGAATATCGAAATCTTGGTAAGGCTGTTCAATAGAATTTATGATACTGGTTACATTCCGCGAGAATGGCTGCAGTCATCCTTTGTGATGATCCCAAAAACAGCTAATGCCACAAAATGCAATGAACACCGCTTAATCAGTTTAATGAGTCACTTGTTGAAACTCTTCCTTAGGATATTACACTCAAGAATGTACAAGATACTAGAAGAACTTAGCGGGTCAACACAATTCGGTTTTAAGGGAGGACTAGGAACAAGAGAGGCAATTTTATGTTTGAACACCTTAATACAAAACTGCTTAGATCAACGAAAAGATGTCTACCTCACCTACATCGACTACGAGAAGGCATTTGACAATGTTAAACATGATATCATGATGGAACTACTACATAGGGCCAACATTGACCAGAAGGAGATCAGAATTATTCAGAATCTATACTGGAACCAAATGGCAAAGGTGAGGATTGATCAAGACCAATATACGGATGAATTTGAAATCCGGAAAGGTGTCCGCCAAGGCTGCATACTCTCTCCGATGCTTTTTAATTTATATGTTGAAAATATATTTGCGGAAGCATTAGAAGATACGGAATTAGGCATTAAGGTGAACGGCATACCAATTAGCAACCTACGCTATGCGGACGACACAGTGATTATAACTGATAATTTGGAAGATCAGCAGTTATTACTTGATAGGGTGAATAGCATAGGTAAAAAATATGGCCTCAAAATCAACATTTTGAAAACGAAATATATGGTCATTAGCAGAAACCCTCCAGAAAACCCGATAATATGTCATAGGTGACAATCGTATAAATCGCGTGAAAAACTTTTAAATACCTTGGCACCACAATCAATGACCAATCGGATCCACAACACGAGATAAAAACCCGAATACAAATGGCAAGACAAGCTTTTGTGAAATTCAGACCGCTCCTATGTAATCAACACCTAAACTTCGAAATACGCTACAGAATGGTCAAGTGCTACATATGGTCCATCTTGCTTTATGGCATGGAAACGTGGACTTTGAAAAAAACATCTATCAACAAACTTGAAGCATTTGAAATGTGGTCATTGAGAAGAATGATGCGCATACCTTGGGTGGATAGAGTTCGAAACGATGACGTCCTTAATAGAGCCGGCGTGGAAAGAGAACTCTTTGAATTAATTAAAAAACGCAAGATTGGTTACCTTGGGCACATATTGAGAGGAGCAAAATATGAAATACCACAGTTAATCCTACAAGGGAAGATCGAAGGTAGGAGAGGAGCCGGCCGCAAACAATTATCCTGGTTAAGGAATATTAAAGAATGGACAGGAATACACAATACAGGTGAGCTGTGTCACGCCGCCAAGAACAGAATTCTAGTAATGAGATAGTCGCCTACGCACTTTGGTGTATGGCATGTTAAGAAGAAGAAGAAGGTATCTTGACGAGTCTGTCAATAATAATAAATATAGATATTATATATATATATATATATATATATATATATATATATATATTATATTTAAATAATTAATAATAATTTTAAAAAAACTTTTATTTATTGTCTGGATCCATATGAATAATCTCAGAACTTTCTTTTAATTAGAATTTAGAGTAACAATACTACTATAAATGATAAAAAAATATCTCAAAACCTTTAATTACAGACAAGAAAAGAAATAAAAACAAATTCAACTTGAAACTGCTTTTCGAAAACTGCTAGCTCTCGGACTATATGAGACAATTCAATTAAATTTTTCTATTATCTCACAAAAATATGTTCGAATGCAAACAAATTATTATCTTATTATGAACAATGGAATGTCAAGGTTGTTTCATAATGAAATGCAATATCGTGAAATATGTTGAAATAAATTGTAATTCGTTTTCAGGGTATAAATAGTGTCGTTCACGGTGAAGCCAGTATCAGTGTTCTATTCGACTTATTTAAGTGCAAATATACAGTGTAATAGTGAAAAATAGTGTTCAGTGGCGATCAAAATTTTAATAGGTAAATCTAACAGTAATTTTGACATTTTGTGGTTTTGTATTGTTTTAGCGTTATGGAAACCGATACCCAACAAACTACAGCTCCCGCTGTTGCACAGATTCCTGCAGAGCTCGAGGCTATAATTAAAGCAACAGTTGCACAAACTGTTGCCACTTTAATGGAAAAACGACTTGGTAAACATAAACATCCAAGGTCCAGGTCTAGATCGAAGAGCCGAAGCCGTTCCAGATCTGGAAGCCGTGGTGGACGTTCTAGATCAAGAAGCAAGGGTAGACGCAATAAATCAAGAAGCAGAGGTAGACATGACAGATCAAAAAGTAGAGGTAGACGTGACAGATCAAGAAGCAGAGGCAGACATGACAGATCAAAAAGTAGAGGTAGACGTGATAGATCAAGAAGCAGAGGCAGACATGACAGATCTAGAAGCCGCGGTCCTTGTGAAAGATTTGGAAGAAATAGAGACGAATGGAATAGTTGGGTAGATTTTGGACACCCACCGCATCACCATGATCATTTCCACCACCATCATCCACCGGGTTGGTTCGGTGAACATTTTAAACCTCATGGTAGATATGGCAGACATGGTAGAAGGTTTCCATTTTCTTGTGGATGCCCTTGCAGCTCGAGAAAAGAGGAAGAACAAAATATAGAAAGTGAAAAGGAAGAAGACAAGGAAGGTACTCCTGTCGCTGATAAGAGTTTAAGAGAGAATTTTAAAAATCTGGAGGTAGATAACTAAACTATGTATGATGACAAACATTTTAAAAGGCTGTGAAGTCAATCAAAAATTAAAATTTAAAAATAAAATATAAAATATAACTATTCGCATTATATACTTTTATGGATAGAAAATTGTACCGTTACATGTATGAATAATTATTATATTATAATAATAGATAAGGTATATTTACATTAATATTGCACGACATTTTATGTTATAATTATATAAAATAAATATTCTAAAAAACACATAAGTATTTTTATACCCGTATTCAAATGTTGTTTTCCTAATGGTTTATGAATTAAATGAATATCCTCAAGTGACACAATAATAAAATATTGTCAGTATATACTGAATCATTTAGATAATACGTCACAGTATAAAAAATTTCGAAGAAAAAAATTAAAAATTTTAGTTATGAAAAATTCCAAACTGTATACTATCGATACCTTTTAATTTTTAAATAAAGTCAAACAAATACGAGTTATAAATTAAAAAAAAAATAACAAAAAGATAAGAATGTAGAGCATTACTGATAAATACATAATCACTTATACACATTAAGATAATATCTGATTGAAGAGAAAATTCAGCTCATAAAAAAAGTTTATATACTTACTTAAATAATAATATAATTAATAATAGTGGATTAGGCTTATAGGGGAAACCACTATAAAAGAAAACGCGCCGTGAACTCTACCTCTTGGGTGGTGCGGAAATGAGTTCATCTTGATTTATTTAAAACAGTTCTTTTGGACACAGGTCACCTCCTCTTTTCCTCAATCCTTTTCTATTATAAAAATATTTGCATACAACTTGGTTCAGCAAGTTGTTTTATGTGATTCTATATTCTTCATGGTATAATTATTGTATTCATTTATCCTTATTTTGTCTCAGGGTACGACCAATATATTTATTAGTTAGGATTTTTTTATTGTATAATGGCTTTGGCATAGCCAATTAGCCAGACTATTTGTGGTAGTTACAATTTTTATTTTATTACCTAAGCCTATTTATAATCTAAATTTAAAGGGAGTAATATGTTCGTATACATATTTTTTCAGTTTTTGACATAAGTATTTACACTTTTTAATTTTATTACCTAAAACTACTTATAATTTAAATTTACAGGATGATATGTATTCTTAGATACAATTTAATATCTGCTTATTATTTGAAAAAATTATTGTATTCAAATTGACAGGCAATGAACAATTTAGCTTAATTAGTTTTTCATACATCATTTTGATACTTTGTCTGTACTGCTCACACTCCAATATAAGGTGCTGTAGATTTCCCACTTTACCACAGGAGCAGTATGGGCTTTCAGTGATACCTATGCTGTGTTTATATGCAGGAGTGAGTGCGTGGTTTGATCTTATTCTGTTTATTGTTTTTGTAAATAACCTATTGGGTTCATATTTAAACCAACTCTCATTGGGAATTAGTGGTTGGCAAGTTCTAAAGTTTATTCCAGTTGTACTTTGGTTGTATAAACGTTGCCATCTTTGTTTGCAGTTGTTTCTACTGATTATATCTATCTCTGTTACTGGTAGAAGTATGTTGTTTATATTGTGTTTGATTAAAGCTGCAGATTTAGCTAATTTGTCGACTTCTTATTAGTTTGGTTCTGCGACGAATATTGAAGTTCTTTTTTTGTCTAACGGTTTGATATCCGTCATTTCTTTTATTTGAATTAACGTTTCTCGACGACAAGGTCATTGGCACGATGGCAGTATAATACAATATAAGAGTATTAAAAATACAGTTTTACATTTGACAATATATAATACACAATACTTATTTTTTACAAATTTAACCGTTATACATAATTACAATTCAGAGTTTATAAAGCACTTGAATGTTTCTTAAGTATTTAAACAGACTTGCATATTTCTCAGTTTCATTCAACATTTCTTGTATATTATCTTCCAACTGGTGTTGGTACATGATGGTTGGTTGGTACATGTTGGTGGTGAACATTCTTTAAGGAAATGCTTGACAGTTAAGGGACTGCTGCTATGGCCGCATGCAGGTGGATCGGTAGATATCATGAGACAGCCATGTGTAAGCCGAGTGTATCCAATTCTTAATCTTCTTAGAATTACTTAGAACACCTTGTATCTTCAGAGCATAGGTGGTAGCTCTAATGAATGTATAACTGGTTGTATATCATGTAAGTGACTCCATTTAGCTTGCCATTTGTCATTAATACGCTTTTTGAAATTTTTTTTAATATCATTATGCAGCTGAATATTTAATCTTGGTATATCCAAAGTAGAAGCTTCTTCTTTTACTTCTTCTTTCTTTCAGAATCATTTCCTACAAGTCCTACTTGTGAGGGTGCCCAGACAATAAGTACAATTACTACATGGTCTGTAAGTTTATTTATATATATATATATATATATATATATATATATATACATATACATATATATATATATATATATATATATATATAAATCTATATAGATATATGTATATATATATATATATATATCGTAAACTCTTAAATATTGGGGAAATCTGCAAGAAAAACTCTAATGTGTATCAATTGTTTCGCCGAACGTTGTCGCCAAAGAGAATTAATTTGGCTTCTTCAGGGCTGAAAGAGAATAAATTATAATTAGCTACCATATATTATCTAATAAAAAACATTTACCTTACCGTAAATTTTAGAAATGTCGAGTTAAGAAAGTAATTCTTTGAATTGTCGGCAATAACTAAATTTTTGATTGTTATAAAGTTTGAATGTGAGGTTCTGTTTTCATAGAACGCAAGCGCTGACAATTACAAGTAGTTTTTTGAATATTTATGTCGTTAAGGTTCATTGGTAAAACCGATGAAGTTAGATCCCAGTCTGCGGAGATATTAGTTTAGAATTTTCTTCATTGAAATTCTTTTTTAATTAGTATATTGTTCATGTATTATTATAATAATATCTTAATGAGATGTATCTAATAAAAGCAAGGGAATGTTATCTTTTTTAGTTAATGAAAATTATTATTGAAATAGGTTAGTTGTTAATAGATATATCAGTCAAGTTAGTTATCTGTGATGTTGTATTGTTCTTGGTATTTGATTTAAGTAAGAAGTGGTATATATCGCTTAGATTCTTAATGTCACTCTTAACATTGATGGAAAAATCGTTAAGGAAAATATAAGACATTTCAATGAACTCTCTTTTAGATTTATTGTTCTCACGGTGGAGAATTGTAGTGTTCGTATAGTCTATGTGATGACCAATAGAATGGACATGTTTGGCTAATGCACAGCGGTCAGGGTGAAGTCGAGAATCACTTTTGTGTAGTGTAATACGTGATTTCAATATTTGCTGCAAGAGAGGCATGGAATGTTGTAGACAATATTACTATCTATGGGAGTCTTATCTTTTATCTTCGAATAAAGATTATTAATTCTTATTGCTGATCTACAAGCCACATTAAGTTTAATGTTATTATTATTCCCAAAGCTATTTTCAACACTTTTTAGAATCCTTGTTAACCCCGGATATCTCTGAAATAGGACAATGAAAAATATTTATTGATAGGAGTATTCGAGACTGGGTTCCCACTTAAGACATCAGGATCAGCATTGTTAGTCACGATAGAAGGTGAAGTATCTTTTTTATGGATAGTGTTAAACAAAATCTTATTTACTAATTGCGTTGGATAAGAGTTTAAAATAAAACGTTTCTGAAGGATTTGTAGGTTTTTTTTGTATGAAATGAAGGATCTGATAGTTTAATTACTCTATTTTTCATCTGTTTGATTAAGTTGACTTTGGTAGAGATATTATGGTAAGAGTGGTAGTTAAGGTATCTACCAGAAATGGGTCGGTTTTTGATACCAATCTATTTTAATGTTGTTGTTTTCCCTAATCATCCTTATGTCGAGAAAGGGGACGGAACAATTACCATCTTCCATCTCTATAGTGAACTGGATATAGGGGTCATAACTATTAAAGATGTCTAATAGTTCATCTACCTTGTCATTGGGTATAGCCAAAATTATATCATCAACATTCTTTTCTATATATATATATATATATATATATATATATATATATATATATATATATATATAAATTATGATTTTTGAGGATGCAGTTTTTGCAAGACTGATCCTCAGGATGCAAGAAAACTCTTTGACTTACTGTCAAGCTTTCGAATTTTATTTAATTCTTTTTCAAGACATCTATAAAAAGAAATATAAATTAACTAGTTAAAATTGTTAATTGTCTTACTTACTAGTCGTGAGATTACAGTTGTTAATACTATTGTACTCCACAAAACAAACCATTAAAAATATATTAAAAATTTTTATTAAAAATAACTATATTGTCACTATATATGTCATTGTCATGGTTTGATTAATGGACATATATGAATGAAAATACAGTTACTTTATGTGGAAAGCAAAACCAGTAACAATAGTTTTTATTATAATTTATTTAATTGTCTATAAAAAATATAAATTAATCCAGTCAGATTTATATATTAAAAAATTTTTAATATATTTATAATGGTTTGTTTTGTGGAGTACAATAGTATTAACAACTGTAATCTCACGACTAGTAAGTAAGACAATTAACAATTTTAACTAGTTAATTTATATTTCTTTTTATAGATGTCTTGAAAAAGAATTAAATAAAATTCGAAAGCTTGACAGTAAGTCAAAGAGTTTTCTTTGTCTTGTGGGCCAAATAAACTGACTGCATCCTCAAAAATCATAATTTATATTTAAATCAACAGTCAAAAATACCACCATCTTATATATATATTATATATGCCATATATAATTTTACTTGTTTTGTTTGTCTATTTCTTCTTCTTCTGTAACTTTACAATTGTCTGCTTATTTTGTCATTATCTTATTATTTCAATATATTGATGATATTGATATTATTATGTGTAGTATTTTCCCTTTAGTTATATTTTTATTGATGTGTTATTCCAATATTAAATAATATTTTGTAATTTTTCTTTTTTTACTGGATATAAGTATAATTTTCTCTGCATGACATTTGGTTGAATTACTTTGTTCCTTTACTTTTTAATGTTAACGCATTTATTAACAATTTAGTTGGTAGTTTATATACTGTACAGGGTGTTTCATTATTTCTTCTGTAACTTTGAGATCGTCTGTTTATTGTCTTCTTATGTTTGCTACAGTTAACCCATAAGCTTTAAATAAAAACCTATGACTAAATACATGTATTATTACCAAGTTGTCAAGTAAATGAAA